ACTGGAAATCTCTAGGCATTTTTTATGGGGGTGGGAGGTAGCCCTTATCTCTGCTTTGTTCCCTTACTTGTGGTGCCTCTCTCTGACTTTGGTACCAGAGTAATATTATTGGCTTCATATAATGAGTTAGGAAGTATTCCCTCTTGTTGTTTTTTAAAAGAGTTTGAGAAGGATTGGTGTAAATTCTCTAAATGTTTGGTAGAATTCACCAGTGAAGACATCTGATTCTGTACATTTCTTTGATGGGATGTATTTTTTTTTATTACTGATTTAATCTCTTCTTATCTATCTGTTCAGATATTGTTTTCTTTATTTTGTCTTTAGTTAGTTTTTGGTAATTTGTATGTTTCTAGAAATTTGTCCATTTGTCTAGGTTATCTAATTTGTTGACATTGTAATTGTTCATAGTATTCTCTTATTATTCTTTTGATTTCTGTAAGGTCAGTAGTAATGTCTCCACTTTCTGATTTTTATTTATTTGCATCTTCTCTCTTTTTTTTCTTTGTCTAGTTAAGTTTGCCAACTTGGTTGATCTTATCAAAGAACCATTTTTTGGTTTAATTGATTCTCTTATCTTACTATTCTTTATTTTTTCAATCTCAAACCTAATCTTTATTATTTTCTTCCTTCTCCCAGCTTTGGATTCAGTTTGATCTTTTTTTCTTTTTCTAGTTCTTTGAGGTATAAAGCTAGATTATTGATTTGAGATCTTTGTTATTTTTTTAATCATAAGCATTTATTGCTATAGATTTCCCTCTGATCACTGCTTTTGCCAAATCTTATGTGTTTTGGAATGTTATATTTTTGTTTTCATTCATTTCTAAATATTTTCTAATTTCCCTTGTGATTTCTATGACCATTGGTTGTTTAAGAGTTTGTTGTTTAATTTCCATGTATTTGTGAACTTTCCAATTTTCTTCCTGTTACTAATTTCTAGCTTTATTCCATTGCCTTTAGAAACTCTACTTCATATGATTTCAATATTTTTTAAATTTATTGAGACATGTTTTGCAACCTAACTTATGGTATATCCTGGAGAGTGTTTCATGTGAACTTGTGAAAGCTATGTATTCTGCTGTTACTGGGTGGAGTGCTCTATATGTGTCTAGTTGTTAGGTCAGTTTAGCTGATAGTGCTGCCAACGTCTTCTATTTTCTTTCTTTCTTTTTTTAAAGATTTTATTGGGGAATTGGGGGGAAGGGAACAGCGTTGGGGAATTGGGGAAGGGGAACAGACAAGTTGCTGTCCTTTTGTTCTTCAGTCTAGTTATCACTCAAAGGCCTACAGCACCTGAGTGAACCTGAGGTGCTGTAAGCCTTTGAGTGATAACCGGCAGCCCAGCTCCAGGTTGAGCTGTTGTTCACCATCTTAGCTGTAGAGGGCGCAGCGTCACTGACCCCCATGTGGGATCCAAACTGGGGCCCTGCTGCTCAGAGCTGGCGTCCCAAACCAACTCTTAGCTAATGTGTCACTCAGCCGGCCCGTCTTCTATTTTTTTATTGCTCTTCTGTCTAGATTTTCTATTATTCTGAAAAATGGGGTATCGAAGTCTCCAACTATTATTGTAGTTGCTTTCTAAATTCCTGAGTATGCACAGGGGCTTTTGGATGCCCTGATTTCTCATAGATACTCTCTCCCTAACTTTTCCTCACAAACTTTGGCACTCTATTGTGTGCCTCCACTGTAATCTTTTGTCTCAAGTAGCTATAGTTTGTTAGTTTGCTTTACAACACTTTGGAGGAATGCCTGCTGCCTTTCCCCTCTGAGTTAGGTAAAACAAAGACAAGTACATTGTATCAGGCTTTCAAGCAGCCCCCAAGCAAGTTAGACAAATATTTTTAAAGTCTGCTCTGCTCCTTCTAGAGCTAGGGACTAGAGTTCCACACTGGGAATACAGGCTGCCATCTTCAGGCTGCCATTGAGCTGAGGACAGGGTGGGGCATGGGCAAGTAAAAATGCCACAAAGCTTTCCTACCATTTTAAAGTTGCCTTTTCTTTCATTCTGAGTTCACTCAGGTGCTGTAGGCCTTTGAGTGATAACCGGAGTTCAGACTAAGTTAGTTCTGAGAATCTGCTTGATTTTTCTCTTTTTGAGGAGGGACAAATTCTTTCCATTTGACTTCTGTGCCATTTTTTCTGACCTTAGTCTGCATTGCATGTTGTCTCCTGTGCATACTCTCTTCCCAGCATCTCGGTCACTCTACTGAGCTTCACCCTAGTTCTTTCTCTCCAAAATACTACCCAGATAAACCTAGGTTTGTAATAAACTTCCAGGGTAAAATAAAAATTTAACTTTTGGTGAGGGATTATAACACAGCACAGTACCATCACAGTAGACAACCATACAGACTGAAACATTTGGCTTTCCTGTTCTTTAATATCCCTTGGTTATTAATACAGCAGCCACTCCCTCTGTGCTCTGGAGTTTTCTCCCATCCTTTCCTGGGTCCCCTTACCTATTTTCTTGGGCAGGTTCAGTAAAATTGGAATTCTCATTTCATTATTCAGAACAACTTAAATCTATCCGACTGCCAGTCACCCCTGTCATTGACATAATTCATGTCCAAATCAGCCCATCAAAAAATTTTAATATAAAAAAAGAGTGTGCAGGGGGGGACAGCCAAGTGGCTCAGTTCGTTAAAAGCACAAGTTCTGAGTGATAGGGTCGCTGGTTTGATTCCCACATGGGCCAGTGAGCTGTCCCTGAGCTGAACTGCTGCTGAACTGCCAACAGGTGGCAGGATGGCTCAGCTGGTGAGAGCACAGGCTCCTAACAACAAGGTTGCCGGTTCCATTCCCGCATGGGATGGTGGGCTATGCCCACCTGCAACTAAGACTGAACACGGCACCTTAAGATGAGCTGCCCAGAGCTGCCATCAGGTGGTCGGATGGCAACTGGACTTGGAGCTGAGCTAGCTGCACCCTCCACAACTAAGATTGAAGGACAACAACTTGCCTGTTCCCCTTCCCCAATTCCCCAACACTGTTCCCCATCCCCAATTCTCCAATAAAATCTTAAAAAAAAAAAAAAGGAGTGGGGCTCTTTATTCCCTAGAAATAAATCTGCTCCCAGCTTTCAAATTAACAAAAATTTCTCTCAGCTATATATATTTTATTTCATTTTGAAAATGTAGATACATTTTAAACTTCTCTGAACACATTTATATTGTCTCTATTGTAACCTCCATTTAAAAATGGTTATTTCTCAGGTTCTATTTTCTTTTATAAACTAGTATCTTAAGAAGTTCTGAAATTTTCACAAATATGATATTAACTCCTCTGAAAATGCTGTTTTTTAAAGGAATGAAGACAATTTTATTGTTGGATGATTGTTCGATAAAAGGAAGAGGCTCTTTTTCTTTCCATAAGTGAAAACTACTATTTTCAATTTTGTTTTTTATTCTGTTTTTGTTCCAGCAATCGAAAATGTGGCTGAAATTTTTTTTTCAAAAAACACAATTTCTTCTTATTATAAAGTAACACGTAATACACATTTATTTGGTATTTAAAAATGAAAAATAAAGCATGAATAAAATGAATTTTTGAATTCTGAAAATTTATAAATCTATAAAACAGAAAACAGAAATCACCACTAATTCCATCACCCAGAGATACCAACTGTTACCTATTTGATATATACCCTCTTAGAACTTTTAAATTGCCATTTATATAAGCAGTTCTTTGTGTGCATTTGTGTGTGTGTACATGCATACACACAGACACATACATGTGTGCATGCATTTTTTCTTTAACAAAAATAAGATTTTAGTAAGGTCTTTTTTCACTAAATATAGAATGCATCATTTTAATGGGTACATAATAGTTCATTTATGGATGTACAATAATTTAGTCAATTTCTTATCAATGAGAACTTAGTTTATTTCCATTTGTTCTCTATTATAAACATTGCATATATATTTTAGAAGTTACAAGAAACTTAAAGTATAGTATTCTGAATTCTTAGGTAGTTTTCTTTAAATATTTGTTTCTACAAACTGGCATTAAGATAAAACAGTTTTTGGAACCCTGTTTAAAAATGCTTTGATCACAAAAGCAGGCAACCATCAATAAATATCTGAAATGTCTTAAACATTTCTAACTCTAATAGACGACATTCCAATCTGGCTACAATCTGTCATTTCAGATTTAACTCCCTGAGTTGCCCACAAAATCTCCACTCTGAGTAAATGAATTTATCCTCTGGAGGGGCCTAATTTTCTATCTTGCTGCCATAGCACTTGCTGCTTCTCCAGGCTGGAAAGACTGGTCATCAAGTCCTCTTTTCTTCCACTGACCAAATCTGATCCAGAATTATAGGTCTAGCTCAAATCTCTTTGGGTCCATAAACTCTTCATGACCACCTAGCAGGAAGGGATTTTTTCCCTTTCATTAAAGTCTCTTGGCACATGATATTTGCACCATTTTTTGGCAATTAAATATATACCGTCTCCTGTCTTTTAAGAGTTCCTTCTCTTGTGTTTTCAACTGTTATTTAAATCTTGCTTATCGTTTCCTCATTGGCATATTTATATCATCTTGCTACAACTGTATCAAAAGATTACTGAAGGAAGAGATCAATCTTGCCATTTGCTCAGCACTATACTTTGCACATATTGGGTTGTCGGGAAAGTCATGATGCATTTTTGCAACGAAAAACATAGAAAAAAATACATCATGACTTTCCCGACAACCCAATAGAAGGAGCTTGGTAAATATTTATTGATTTAATATGATTACTGTAAATTACGGATCTATATTACTGAAATTCTCATTCAGTTTAATTTCTATGCATAGATAAGAGCATATAAAAAAGCAATTTCTCAAAGCTCTTTTATCAAGATATTAACAAAAACATCTTTGTTACTAACTATATACTGCCACTGTTGGTACCTGAACTAAGTAATCTTTAAATCAAAATAGTATCTCAAGATTTAAAATATATTTTTATAATATTTAAAATATTTACTTAAAATTGTTTGCATAAATATTGAATTACTTACCTGGCAAAAACTTAAGTAGAAGCACAAAAGGAACAGAATAACATGAGCAAACTTCATGTTGGAGACATTCAGGGTCTGCGTCTCTACTGTGGACGCTTCTCCACCCAAGATTTTCTTTTGAAATTTAATTTTTAACCTCTGAAAAAATATTTAGAAAGAGCGAGCCTCCTAAAGAGCTTTGTACTTTTGAACTTGTAGAGAATTTGGCTTTGAAACAAAGAGTTTACCGTAATTGAAACCAAAAAAAGCCTTCCTAGTAAATGGCCGAGGGAAGCAACCAATAGGGACTGTGCTTCCTCCAGGGGAAACTGACTTTCCCCACCTTGTTACTGATTAATGCCTCCATTCTGTTTTCCAGGGAAGACAGAAACTATACTGGAAGAACATTTTTTATGTTTTTGGTCAAATAAAATCATAACATTTTCTCTTATGGTTGAAGACTAGGCGGTGGCAAGAAGTGTATAAGATTGAAAGCTTTGCTGAATACATTAACAATCCTCAAGGAAGCAGTTCCTTTGCCATGCATTGGCTGTGCTGGGGTCGAATTACATTCTCTGAGTGCAAAAAAAAAAAAAGCTTTTCAAAATACATATGCTTGCCCTTGCACCAACCGTAGCACAGGATTCATTTTTATTTATAAAATAAATGTGTGACAGCAAAAGTGCTGTCACAGTTTGGGTTCTCCTGACGCAGATGTGAGGCAGTTTTGGGTGCAAGATACTAATTAGGAGTCAACTCCTGTGAAAGGAAGGAAGGAGTTGGATTGCAATGTAGGTTCGCCAAAGCCTTGGCCAGCTCATGGGGAGCTCTGGAGTGAGCATGGCTTGTCACAGTGTCCCTGGATCAGCAGAAATGGCTGGAGCACTAAACCCTGCCTTGTTCAGTCACCTGGTGTGGGTTGCCAAAAACGACACATCCGTAGGTCAGGCCTACGTTTTCTGTAGCTAAGGCAGATGATGAAGGAACTGACAATTCGTTTCTGCCAGAAGGGAGTGTCTGCTGACTACACTTGTCACAGCTGGGCAACAAAACCTTCCTTGAAGGAATGAAACTGGGAAATTCATCTCCCTGCCTTCCAGAGCCCACCATTTGCACCTTTTAGATGTATATATGCTCCAAGACTGGCTCCTTCAAAATTGCAGTGGGCCTTTCTTCCTGGGGGAAAATTTAGAAGAGGGAAGTGATGGGGAAAACTACAGCCCCTGGCCTTGTCATTGATCTTGGGGCCGCAGTTGGTACTCGTCCTCTGCCTTCTTCCTACCCATACTAGATTCTCTTCATCCTGAGCTTCCACCTCTGCAGGCCTCAGTGGCATACCTGATAGCATGACCTATAACTTCTTCCAGGACTGGTATGAGCCCCTGGTTATCATTCTTTTTTAGTTGATGTCATAAGAGGCACCCAACTAGCTCACGTGGTTTCATACATAGTGTATAACAGCAGCCCTGCCTCTTCTGAATCATGGTCAGTCAGTTACTCCTGTCAAGATGGCGACTCCTCATGTTCCCTGCTGGTATCTAGACACCAGGAGCCCAATGTGCAATAGGCAGAAGGCTTAGCTTATAATTCAGTGTGAGTCTTGCTGTGCTCCTTGGCAGAAGCATGCTTCCTATGGGGAGCATGACCTCTAACTCTGCAGAGTCCACAGTTGTGGGGACAGGAAGCAAGAAGCCCCCAATTAGTCATTGGGTGTGGTGGTAAATGTGGTCATTCCTGATTCTATTCCTTGACTCCCAGACCTGTGTCTCCCCTCTCTTGGGATTACAATGCTACATGAAGGTCTTTGATTCGAGGCATATACTCCTTCCTGGAGGGTAGCACCCAGTCTTCACAGAGCATTGCCTTTAAGTAGCACCTCAGCTCTGCCTTGAGCAGGCACTCCAGTGCTCCACAAGGCTGCAGGTTCTGAGTGGTACAGTATGTGATAACCTGTGAATCGCAGGGTCATAGGCACACCCTTACATCTCCTTTGTTGTAAAGTGCTCCCCTTGTCTGACAGGGTGTTTTATGGGATCCCTTGTCGGAAGATGAAATACTCTGTAATCCTTTGGATCATGATCTTAACTGAGTCCTTGCAGACAGAAAAGGCACATCCTAACCTGGGATATATGTCCACTCCTGTAAGAACACACCACTGGCTCTTTTAAGGTTCAAAGGACAGACTGTGTCAATTTACCAAGTGGCTAGTTGGCATCTTTGATGAATTGTGCCATCTTGGGAGCTCTGCACTGGTCTCTGTTGCTGTCAGATTGAACATTTGTAACTAAATAAACCTTAGGGGTCCATGCTATTGTCCTGGTCTCCTCCATCTCTGCTACCTTGGCCACTTTATTCTTTTGCCCAGCATGCTAGCACTGGGGTGGCTGGTGACTGAGACTGGCTGATATCAACTGGCTGAGTCATTTTGTTGGTTATTTAGTGCCTTTTCTTTGGTGGATATTCTCTGGTGGGTGTGAACATGTGATACAAAGATTTTCACACTTCATTCCCACTCCTATATGTACAACTACATGTTTCTACCCCAGACCTTCTTGATCCTAATCTTGGAATATTTTTCATTCTAGGAAGAAACATGGTCAGGCAATCGCTATTGCCTGTGATTCCATATATATAGCCTAACATTGAGCCACTTATTTTGCACACAAATGGATGGCTCTTCCCACTGGGAGACCTTTCCCTCACCACTGTCTTTCCAAACCACTCCTAAGTGTGGTTGTAATGAGTGGCTGTCTATTTTCGGCTTGCACCAACATACGGAGCCAACCCATCTGTAAACCAACACGACTTTTCTCTCCTCCTTCAGCTGGTCATACCAGATTCCCCATAGAGCCGCGGGTGTGAGCTGAGAGAAGGGCACGGGTGCAGTAGTTTGGATTCAGGGCGGGGAGGGGGAAATCTGGACTACCTGATCATACACTTTGCTTGTGCACTTTGGTCCTGTTTGTGTTTGTTTCTGGATGTAACATTTCCATCTTACATTTTTACTGGGCCTGCTCAACCTTATGCTTCATGGGTCTGATAGGACCCAGCTCATAATGGGCATTTTGGGCCACATGGTGACATAGTGTCCAGGTTCAGTTATTCCACAGTTACCAGGGTCCAGAGGTGAATAAGTTGTTTCTCAAAAAGGGTACAATTCTCTGCTGCAGATGTTATGGCCTTGCTCCAGAACCCTAGAGTCCTGTGCTGTAATTCTCCCATTGGACATTCCTCAAACACCATGCAATGTTTTCCACCACTGACACCTCCAACATTATAGGTTCTGTTGGATCACTGCAGGACCCTCCCTGCTTTGGCAGCCAAGCAGTGTTTCTCAGTGTGGAATATTTCACCCAGAAGCAAAATCCCCCGGAAGAAATAGTCTCAAAAAGGCTCACTAGGTTTTTGCTTCCTTCTTTACATAAGGAAGTGCAAGATGAACTAATTTGTCTTTTACTTCAGAAAGTAAAACCTGTCAGGTTCCTGGGCACTGTTTTCCTAAATATTTTACTGACGTGCCAGGCCTTATCTCCTGTCCTCTGGAGCATATGTGTCTTATCGAGGCATTCAGGATGCCAGTCCTTGGAGAAAGAGCTGGGGCAGGAAATGTATAAGTCAAATAGAGACATCTTGTGTCAGAAAGCAAGGAAGCTATCAGAGGCCAGTGAGTGGTACTAAAAGACATAGGACTCAACTTGAAGGGATTCTCACAAACCAAAGATGAAACAATTAAGCATTAAAAAGAACAATAATACTAAAGGATTAAAATAACAATAAATATTTTTAAAACGATGGAAAGCTATTTCAGCTAATAATTGCTGAATAAATGATAAAATTAGCATACCACCATTTTGCAGCCCCCTGTGAACCAATGGATCTAAGCGGATCATCAATAGCTGCTAAAACCATCAGGTGAAAAGTTGGCAGGGAATTTCCTAATAGATGGATCAGGCTGATATACTGATCTCACTGATCAATCTTAACATTGACAAAAGAGAAACAACCAGATGTCATGTGCCTCCTTATGTGATGCTATAGGAAGTATTTTTGAAAAAAAAAAAATTGAACTTGAGCATAATCAGTTATCCAGATATCACTACCAGTTAGCTACCAGTTTACAGGAAATACAGAGGACAGAGAAACATGATTTATATCGTCAAGAGGCAAGAGGATGGGAAATTCTACAAGACAAAAGACTGTTTCTTTAACAAGTAAATACCATGAAAAAAAAAAAAACCAGGGAAACTGCTAAAGAATAAAAGACAGTTAAGAGACATGTCAATCAAATGTAATACATGGGCATAGTTTGGATCTTCACTTGATAAAACCAATTATTAAGACATTTTGAAATAATTTGTGAAAATTCTACATGGATTGTTATTAGCTGATACTAAGGAATTATTACTTAGGTGTGATAATGGTATTGTGCTTATGTTTAAAAAGTCCTCTGCTGACTAAGATTGAACATAGCACCTTGAGCTGAGCTGTTGATGAGCAGTTGGATGGCTCAGTTGGTTAGAGTGCATGCTCTTAACAACAAGGCTGCTGGTTTGACTCCAGCATGGAATGGTGGACTGCGCCTCTCCACAGCTAGATTGAAAAAAAAAAAAGGCAACTGGACTTAGAGTTGAGCTGTGCACTCTACAACTAAGATTGAACGACAACAACTTGACTTGGAGCTGATGGGTCCTGGGAAAAACATATTGCTCCCCAATAAAGTTAAAAAAAAAGTCCTCTGCTGGAATTTATGAATGAAATGCTATCTGGAGCTTACTTCAAAAGACTCTAGCAAAATATATATATAATAATAATAATAATAATAATAATAATAATAATAGTAATAATAGAATGAAGCAAGATCTTTAAAAAGCTGGTAATTGAAGCTGGATTATGGGTATATAGAAGTTCATTATACTGCTCTCTCAACTTTTGGTTTGAAATTTTAATAAAAAATTTTAAATAAGAAAGTAACGAATTCATATGAATGTTTCCAATCTAATGGCAGCTTGGCTACGTCCTTTTAAAATTTTGTTTCAGTGTGAAGTTTTTCAGCCCTTTCTCTGTCATTTACAATATCTCCTTACCAAGTATTTTAATTAGATTTCCTAGCTTTTCAGTAACACAATTAGATGTATGCTTTCTTAGATCTTGGATCCCCTCATTTGAATGCATTTACACCCTTTATCCATCTCCCCCTGCCCCGCCCCAACATGTCTTTTATAATTTATTTTTTGATCATTCAATAGTCATTTGTTGGCAAGCAAAATCTTAGTGGATGGGAAGAAGTTCAAAATACAGAGTTCAGTTAAGTGCAATGAATACTTACTGGGCATCAGTTTTGTTTGTTTGTTCACATGCACCGTGTGAACTACTTAGGATACCAAAACAAGTTAAGATGTAGTTTCTACTCCTCAGGAGCTTGTAGTGCAGTGCAGATGTCTCAGTTGGGGTCTGCAGACGACATTAGTGGTTCTGTGAGAGGTTAATAGGGGTTCCAGAAGATACTGGAAAGAGTTTTTTGAATTGCCTTCTCCATGTAGTGCCAATACTTGTGGTGATGAATAGTGATCAAGCAGCCTGGTTAGTAGTTTTGCTAGAGGTTGTTCACCTACACACAGTACTCCTCCTCTGCAGCTATGCTCATTTGGTTGAGTCTGTTCTCAGTTTTTGATGTGAGACAGGAGAGACTGTTGATAATCAGTGAGTGCTGAATTGTACCAAGGGAAGGAGGATAGGTTGATGGCATCGGCCTCTTTCCCTTGAACTTTATCTCCTGTCTATCCTTTTCCAGCCAACTGAGAGCAAACAAACTTTCCTGATATGATACCAAATCAAGGGGTAAATTTTAAGGAAAGACTTCGTAAGCGCTGTGACTCAGATGCCTCCCTGTTGCTTTGTCATGTTGTAAATATTGCAAAACCTAGAACTTGTAGATTAAAAGTGAATTATATTTTTAAAGATTTCATTTTTCTTTTGTGATTTCCTTGTTTAGTTTGTTTGCTTTACTTTTAGCAACTGTTTTACAAACATGACTTAGAGTCCAATGTGGTAATTTTTGAAGATGAAGTGAGAGCTGAAAGAGAATTCTAGGCCTAGGTAATTCTGATGAAGTTAGTAATAAAGAACCACAACCTAATGGCTCTAGCAAAATTGAAGAAACTTACCTACAAATCACATTGAAGGACCAAATAATTTTAAATGGCCTTTGAAATCCCAGAATAAAAAAAGTTTTGTTAAAAAAAGTCCCTTCAGTAAATAGGTTCAAAGAGCAAGTTATTAAGTAGCAAAACTTTTTGACTAAAAAAGAAAAAAGCTCTACAGTTGCTAAGAACCTCACAATTCTATATGTAAATTTATAGAGTAAAATGCTAGCAGACTATATAAGAAACTAAAAAGGTTTCACTCTCAAAGCTTGATAAATTAATGTAATTGATGACATGTCATGTGATGCTGAAGAGACTTTGTGTAATAAATCAAAAAACTTTTTATCCACAGTAATGGATCAACAGATTTCAAAAACAAATGTCATATAGTAGCATTTGTGAGATATGTATGTTCTAATGAAATTCAAGAAAAATTTTCTGTGATAATAAAATGCTGCCCCAAACAAAGGCCAAGATACATTTACTCGTTTGTCTTCATATTGGAAACAAAAGGTATGTCTTGGAGGAAGTGTGTTGGCATCTGCACTGATGGTACCCCATCAATGATTTGAGCATTGCTCCCCGAGAAGTTTCACTCTCACAAAAAAGAAAATCCTGATGTATTCACAGCATATTGCTCTCCTCCCAGAAGCAGTGCTGGGAGCTGAAATGAAAAAAATTCTGGATGATGCTACAAAAACAGCTAAACTCATCAAAGGCCAGTTCACTCAAGAATATTTTAAAAACTATGTGGAAAACTGGACAAAGGCCACATAAATCTCCTGCCACATGCAGAAAATTTTATGGCTTAGATCATTTGTTCTGGGGCAAGCCTGCTGCCATGTCATGAGAATGCTTAAGCCCTCTGTAAATAGGCCCATTTGGCAAGGAACAGGGTCCCCCTGGCAAGAGACAGCATTAGCTTGCTAAGTGAGTGATCCACCTCAGAAACTGATTGTCCATCTGCAATTGTGCATTCAGTTGACTGCAGCCCTAGTTAACATTTTGACTGCAACCACATGAGGCTCTAAATCAGAACAACCTAGCTAAACTGCTCCTGAGTTTCTGACCTACAGAGATTATGCAAGATGTTTGTTTTAAGCCATTAAGTGTTGGGGTAATTTGTTGCACAGTAAGAGAAACTAATACAGATTTTGGTTTTTAACAGAATGTTTGAGCTAAAAAGTGAACTGTGGGAATACGTTCAAGAAAACAGTAGGCTACATTTTGCCAAATGCTTTGAAGATCAAGAATGGCTACAGAAATTTGCCTACTGAGTAGACTTTTTTCATCACATGAACTAGTTGAGTAAGTATCTTCAAGGGCCTGGAGAAAATACTTTAATTTCAAATGACAAGATTCTTGGTTTTAAATAGAAATTGAATCTTTGGAAAAATCATATGGTAGAAAGAAATCTTGCTGCTTGTACTTGAGAGTGAGGAGGTCTCAAGTGTCAAGTTCAGACCAAACCACCTGGGGAAACTGCAGAACACTGAACAGTATTTTCCCTCTCTCTCAGTACAAGTGTATGACTGAATGAGGGCTCCTATTTCTGAATCTTCTTTTCAGCCTGAACACCTGACTTTTGAGAGCGGAGGAAGAACTTTGTGAATTGGTTATAAACATAAGATAAAATTTACTGATCTGCCTTTGTACAAGTTCTGTATTTCTATGAAAGAGCATTCTGCCATTCATAGGAAAGTAACAAACATTTTACAGTACTTTTCAAATTCTTCTGTAAGCCTTTTCTTGTCTAATGGGCATTAAAAACAAAGACAGAAATCATTGCATTTTGGTTTAAAATGAAATCTGTGTATGCCAGTCTCAAGATTGACTCAGAATTGAGAATATACACAGCAAAAGATAAGCAAAGATTTCACACCAACTAGGTAAATTTCATTATTTTAATTTCAAAAGCAACACGTTTATTTATGTATAGATCTATAAAGAGATTAACACTCACTAAAATCAATTTGCAACCTTTACTAAATTAAAGGAAAAACTGAAGTTTCCTCTCTCAATTTGCATTCCAACTGATATCCTTGTTAGGAGGGAAAAACTACAGAATTAGGCTAATAAGTCGAACAAAAATAAACATATTCACAGAGAAACATCATTCTCTACTCAAAAGAGCACTGAGTTGCACAACAATGTGACCCAATAAACAATACACTTAAAAATGATTAATATGGTAACGTTTACGTTACATGGATTTTACCAGTTAAAAGAGAGCATTGACAATTATTATTGGGTCATTATGTCTACAACTTGCTGATCAGGTTAACACATGTATGTTAATTTATATATGCTAATATGTGTTACATATAGCATATAACTTTTTATATAAAAATATTTTTGTTTATATATAAATTAAATATATATAACATATGAATTTTTATGCACGGGTTTCTGAGACATGGAAATTATTTCAAGGGCTCCTCCAGTGTAAAAAGATAGAAAAAGGCTGGTCTAGTGGATGGGAAATTGAGCTTTTCCAAGCAGGAAGTGTTCAGCTATGGAAGAGAAAGAGAAACCAGGCAATGGTGCTGGCCTAATGGGGCAGAGGGAAGCACAGGAGGGAAATACAATTAATTACATAGACGGCCCACTCAGTGCAGAGATTTTACTTTAGATTTGTTTATAAAGAAAATGGGGAGCTATTTGGCGTCTTGTGATGGCTATGGTACAAGGAAACTGTTTTAGTAAGGTCAGTATGTCGTGACATGCAGTACAGATGGGAGGAAGAAAAGCTAAGTCTGGAAGTATTTATTTGGAGGCAACAAAGATGCTCAGAATGTGAGAGGTTGTTGTAGTTCACTGCTATTATTTTTGTACTTTTAATTCTTGTAGATTATACATTGGGTGATTTAGGGTAGGAATGACAGAAGAAAGTGTGGTAGTGACAACAGGAGGCCCGTAATGACAGTACAAAGCTACCTTAGAAGGAATTACTAGAAATTGAAGGCTGGGGTGGGGATGGTGATAATGATAATAGAGAAGGAGAGGGCTCAAAAGTCTGAGTCCACAGATTCAGGAACCAAGGGTATTACGCTACCATGAGGACAGAGAACTGGCATGATGAACCATCTGGGAAGAGGAAGGGGAGGAGGACAGAAAAGGACTGAAGACTGTGAGAATACAAAGTTCTAGGTTGTCCCTCTAATTAGCTAGGGAAGTTACTTCATTTCTTTGAAAGTCAGCTCCTTCCATGTAAAATAAAGGAGCACCAAGTATTCTTGAAGGTCCCATACAAGTTCAATGGTTTCATCACTGAGTTGGAGATAATAGTGGAACACCAAATGGAAACACCGAATGTAAATGTTAATGTTAAATGACACAAAGCAAAACAGAGGACCGTTATGAATAATTCTACCTCTGTATGATGTGTAGAATTTAAATGGATCAAATCTGAATGAAAATTCATATATTAAATTCCTTTTATATGTAGAGCTGCTAGGTACGTTCTCAAGCAGCTTATACTTTAGTGCAGAAGACATATTGTGATTCCTATTTCCATAGTTAGGTTTAAAAAGTTCTCTCAAAATCAAAATAACCTTCTAAAAAGCAGCCCTCACACTCTTTCAAGGTCGACTGTGTCAAATATCAAGGTCAGGTCTCAGAAGCTTTGGGTGTAAAACAGACCAACCAAATTTAATAAATAGGTCACTAGCTTTCTTTGGGAGAAGTTTTAGCAGAAGCTGAAGTCAGATTTCAACGGCTTGAAGGAAAAAGGGGCGAAAGGCTTGGAGCACAGACGGTGTACAGCCTGGCGGTGCGCAATACGTACTTGACAAATGAATCAGCTATCAGGTACAAAAGATAAAAATATGGTTTGGCTTTCTAGCGGATGTTTCTTTAAAAGTACACGCTCGCGCGCATTTATTCCTTCCTTGAACTAGGGAAACCATAGGACGTTCGGCCCATAATCACGCGTCGTTCAAAAAACACGGAAAAAGCGACTCGCAAAAAATGCAGACAAGCCCTTCCACTGAGTTTGGACGCGACCACATTGGCCTCTGGGCAGAGCACGACTCAAGTCTCCTAAGATGTGGGCTGGAGCTGGCAACGAACTGATGGGCGAGGGGATCGTCTCGCAGCCCGAACAGCAAGGACGCAGGCCTGGCGGCATTCACTAGGCACCTGTGGGACCGCTGGGCGACGACCCGGGCCTCTCATGCCGGAGGTCTCCAAGGGCAACGCCACGGCGGCACTTCCTGCAACGCCGCGATGCAACAGACGCCTCTATTATACATCACTTCCTGGGCTCGTCGGTAGGTAAATTGACTTAACTGTCGTAAAGCAGTGGTTGAAGTTAGATACTGTCGCTACTCTCCCATCGTTGAGGCTGTTTTGGAAAGGTTCCATCGGCAACTGTTTTTTTGTTTGTTTGTTTTGTTTTTAGTTATTCGAGTTTTTGGTCGTTTCCCCCACCCCCGCCCTTGGTGCCGGTACGGTGGCCGAGGAGGATCGTGTGCGGAGGAAGTACCGGGCGGGTGGGTGTGCGCACCCGGGCCAGAGGTGCACGTGGCGCCGGTGAGTGGCAGGAGGGAGAATGTGGACCCGGGCGCGCTGGACGCGGAGCCCAGCTGCGGGCGGGAGAAAGGAGGGAAGGAAGGGACAGCGGCGTGAGGACTTTGCTGCCTGCTAGGGAGGAGGTACTAACCGATGGCGACCAGGCTGGTGAGGGTCGGTCGGCGCTCAGAGGACTATGGGGAGAGAGGCGACACTCCTCACTCGCCCTTCGGTTTCGTCGCTGGTGGCTTGGCCGTGGGTTAGGTGTCAGGGTTGCTATAATTATTACTGTTGCTTTTTAGGGTGTCCTGACCGAGGCCCAGAGGGGTTAGGTGGTGTACCCAGAGGCCACAGTGACCAAAAGGCACGCACTGTGTTGCTCACCAGGTAGGAGCGAGCATGTCTTTTCGAGGCGGAGGCCGTGGAGGCTTTCATCGAGGTGGTGGAGGTGGCGGCTTTAATCGCGGCGGCGGCGGCGGCGGCAGCAACAATCACTTCCGAGGTGGAGGCGGCGGCAATTTCAGAGGCGGAGGCGGTAATTTCAGAGGCGGAGGCGGTAATTTCAGAGGAGGCGGCGGCGGCAGAGGAGGATTTGGACGAGGCGGTGGCCGCGGAGGCTTTAACAAAGGCCAAGACCTAGGACCTCCAGAACATGTCGTTTGTATGTCGGCTTCAAAGCTTAGCCTGCTTGGGGGAGGGGAGTAGAGGGGGGGGCAGGGGTGGGGTGCGGAGGTCATGGGGTTGTGTTACTATTAAGTTTGACTGGGAGTCAGGTGCTGTAAGTTCTAGCAACTCACATAAGGCAGTTGCTTGGTTGGGAGCCAAATCTGTGGAGATGCTGTAAACTGACTTATAATCATGCTGTGGCAAATAAGGGAAGATTTAGGAAGCTGAAGGACACCTATTAGAGTGCATCATGGAGGTGGAACTAGAGTTTGGGCTGAAAGGAAGATATTAAATAGGAAATATTGTATGCTTACCCTTATTGCCCGTAGTTTACAGGTAAGAAAACTCACTCAGAGTTAAGTTTCTCTGCTAGGGTCATAGTTAGGGATAAGTGATCAATCAATGAATGATATATTTGAGATACGAAACAAGTTTTCTGACTTCAAAGCCCAGGCTTTCAATTAATTACTCAAAAGTAAAAGAAGCGAGAAAAAAATTTTGCTTGGAAACTACAGAGGGAAAGTCAAGAAAAAGACCTAATTTGAGTAGTTTTGGAGTAATTATCAAGCCATGGAAAGTGAGAGATTTGACAGTAGAAGCCTATATCAAAAAGGCGAAAGGATTAACACAGGCTAATATAAATAATAGGTTGGATCAGTATGCAACATGGCCTGAAGAGGGTAATGACTAGAGTCAAAGGTCCTAACCCACAAGCCATTGCAACAGCCCATGCAAGAGGGAAGCATTGAGAGCATGGTGAAAATGAGGAGAAAAAGGAAGAGTTAGATGGGAAAGAGGTTTCAACGGAAAGAAACTCAGAAGAACTTCGCTAATGCTGGGAATTATTAAAAGGTTCCAGGTTTTGAGCCTGGGTGATAGGGATGGAGAGTGGTTTTGCAGGAATGTGGTGAGTGTTTTAGTTTGAAGTGGTAGTCAATTAGAAATACAGGTAGTTATTTTGACTTCCCTGAAAAATATTGAAGAGTCATTGGTGAAGAGATGGTAATGGGAAGGTATAAATGGAGAGAAAAAAAACACAAAGAACAACAAAGACTCATTTTATAGTTAGGGATTGGAGGGGAGAAGAAATAGACAGTAAAATGCAACATAGTGTTTAATCAAATAATAATGGTTGTTATTATAAAATAACTATCGGTTCAGTGGTCTCAATGTTCCAGGCACTTTTCTAAGCACTTGACATTTATTATTGCACTCAGTCCTCACCATACTATATGTTAGGTGTTGGAACAGTTAATAGTCCTACGTTAAGGATGAGGACAGTGAAGCAGGGAGAAGGTGAGACCCTTAACCCCAGGTCACATAGCTAGTATGTTGTAGAGTTGGTATAGGAACCCAAGAAGGCTTTTCTACCTCAAAGAGAACAGAATTGGTGAAATCCCAGGTAACCAAGAAGAAAGCTTCCAGGAGAAGTTGGTCAATATCACTTGCAATTGTTTTATATTTTAATGTTTTCTTGTCCTATTTCAGTATTAGGAGAGTTCCTGCATCCCTGTGAAGATGACATAGTTTGTAAATGTACCACAGATGAAAATAAGGTGCCTTATTCCAATGCTCCAGTTTATTTAGAAAACAAAGAGCAAATTGGAAAAGTGGATGAAATATTTGGACAACTTAGAGATTTTGTATCCTTTATAATTGGAAGGCCTAGTGATCTCATTGAAAAGTTACTATTTGCTTTTTCTGGAGCTAAGTATAGATTGAATTAAGCTTGTTTCATTAAATTGAACAGAGAATTGCTAAAATTGGACCATAAAGGAGAATCAAGAGAGGAAAATGATATATTGAAAAGATAGGACCTTTTGGGAAGGTTTTGGAAATGATTGTCATTTGGCTAAGTACTACAGGATTGTACTACAGGATTGAGGTAGTTTGCTTTGGATATGGTAGAGCAACTGGTGGGATTGGAAGGTTTTTTTTGTTTTGTTTTTTAAGATTTTTATTGGGGAAATGGGGGATGGGAACAGTGCTGGGGAATTGGGGGAAGGGGAACAGACAAGTTGCTCTCCTTTTTTGGTCTTCAGTCTAGTTGTGGAGGACGTCGCCCCACCGGCACAAGTTGGCACCATCATTGCTCTCTTCCCAGGTGAGGCAGATCAGTCGCCGGCTTCTGGACGGCCGCTCACTGCAGCTGCTGGCCGCTCACGCTGGCTGCTGGCTACACACGGTAGC